GCATTTGTTGTCCGATAGTGCTCCTACAGAACCAGGAACTTCCAAAGCCTAAATTTTGATTCCTGCACTAGCTTTTCCTCTCAGAGGGCTTTGAAACATCCTTTTCTTGTTTCTTTATGTGGAAAATAGCAGCCTTCCTCATTCTTCTGTGCTGATGTGTGTTTCTAAGAGATTAATTTCTCAAAGAAATTTCTGTCTATTTGCTAAATGATGTGCACTTGGTGGGGTTGTTACATTCATAACCGTGCTCGTTGATAGGGGCATGTACTACCACGGGTATAAATTCTGACCTGAGAGGGCTACAACTCTAATAGCTGAAAGTCAGCCCAAAGTAAGTATACATTGAACCTCATTTGATTAACCCAGTATATAAACCTAAAATAACTACAAGCAAACAAGTAGATTTATTCTGGATTCCCTAACATTACTGAAGCCAAAACCTGACCTGCATATGTTAATAGCTGGCACTAAATGTACATTTATCTATATAGTATAGTTAGTATAATTACATATCGGTACACATAATTGTATAGCCTAAATATTGCATTCATATTTTTCTTATCTTTAAAATATATGCCATCAACAGAAAGGTTTAATCACTCGGTGAATGCAAAATACTGAGTGTCTGATGCTCTGACTTAATGGTTTAAACTATCTAATCCTGTAGCATATCAGTTCTCATTGTTTATTTGTAAATGAAGTGCTGTTTGTGTCAAGAGACCTATAATAGCTTGGGTTAATGCAATTGCCTCTAAGAAGAGCTACCCTTGAAGCCTTCTGGGGAATTTTAAGAGGCAGAATGCAACCATGGCAGAAAAATGTCGCATGAGCAAAAGACGTTGTGGAAACTGTGGTAAATGCTAAGTCTCTTTCACTTCCTGTATTGTAGTAAATCTTAAAGAAACAATTTGAGTGCTTTAGGAATGCTATGCATTTTAAATAGTCTCCTGTGAAGACTGATTTTGATTACAAACCTTGGTAGTTCTTCCATTTGACAGAAGAGTTACTATAGTCCAGTTGACACATTACTGATATATTGGAGGGATGGGAGAATTATGTTGTCATCAGACTCAAGTGGAATATTTTCTCACCTACTGCAAATTTTAAGAACTTGTTAAATTTTAAAACATACTCTATTCAAAGGTACTTACAACTGTTTTTCCAAATGTATTTCTTAAAGATTGATTTAGGTGCTTTTTTGTCTCTTGAGGCTGAAGGAGGTTTATTGCCATTATCTATTTACATTATGATCTTGGAATAATCTGATCTGTATTCAGAAAATATTCTGAGAGAGCTTATTGTGATGACTTTAAATATATGCAATGGACAAATAATTCTTGTTTAAAGTTTATCTTTTTCTTTACATATTCATTATCTCATATTTAATAGAAGAGAAAGACAGGACATTGTTGTTCTGAAGGGAAACAATTGGACTTCAGGAAATTGCAACAGATTCACCAGTTGGCCAGAGGAGGGAGCGATGCAGCCTTTCTGGCTGGTGAGATCAATGTTTCAGCCTAAATTGAAATGTAAAAGCTATTTTGGCAATCTTCTTTTGTGCCATTAAACCTTGATTAATCCAATAATAAGAACAATAGGTTATATTTTACTCCACTTTAAATGAAGACAACCCTTATGAATTCAGTAGGGATGCATAAGTATTAAAGGGAGTAAAAGTGGGGCACACCCAAGCTCATAGCTAAAAATTTGATAGTGCACTGGGGATTCCTGACTCTCCTTGTGTTGAAGCAAAGCTTAAGAAACGAATTTGCATGCAGTAGGAGCTTTATGTATTGTGGGTTGTAAATAGTACACCAAGAACATCAGTGAGATTTAAAATCAGGCACAAGTACAAAGCAGAAAAAACACAGCCTTTTCTTCAGTTGTGTCTTAGCTTGCAGGCAATGTAAAGATAATGAGCAAGTTCTGTGAGTATCTATATAGCCAAGGGAGTAATACTGGTATAGCACTGAGAGAAAAGCTTTTAAAACTGCTAATCTACTCTCGTTTCTTAATGGGTAAAAAGGAAAGCTGGTGGATCAAAATTACCATGCAATCAACTTTGTGTTTATGTCAGAATTCACTGTTGCCTATTAACACTGCTGCTATTTGGTTGTAATTAATAATAGGAAGGACAAAATTGCATTACACAAAATGGAGAAAATATTATGACTGTGGAAGGAAGGACCTGGCCGGGTGGTAGGATAAAAGAAAGGAAAACCAGAACCAGGGAAGGGAAA